TATGTGTGCGTGTATTATTCCAGAAAGAAATACATTCGTTCCTCAACATTTTCAATAAAAATTATTCGCATGTTGAAATTATCAGCAGAAGCATTTGTATTAAAGATTTCTTGCATATTTACCCATTACTAAACCTAGCTAGGTAGCAAAGTGCCAGACTTGCCGATGCGGCAGTGCGTTTTTGCGCTAAACTTGAAGTATTCAGATCGTTAACAGTATGAATGGTTGTTGCTTTGCATTTAAGTTGCGCACTTACGGATTGGATACAAAGCTTATTATGTATGCATGGCGAGTAAGAGGCTGTACTGAGGATTTCCACTCTTATTTTCATATCTGTGCTTGCAGCAAACGGATAAAACACAGGTACTCCCCAAAATATGTCTTCGTTGCATATATTGTTCAGATTGACCCCTTATTTCCATCCTAATACTTCAAAATGATCCAGACAGATACATACGTATATGAGGAATCATAGAGTTTAAAATACTATTTACAGCTATATACTTCTCAGATTACTTTTCAAATTTAGTAAACACATTATGCGGTAAATTGAAGTGGAAAAAGTTCTGACGGCTAACGAGGTAGTGTGGCGATTGGGGAGTGCAGAAAGAAAGGTGGCTGTTAGGACATAGTGCGAGCAGGGAAAGGAGATAAATCCTAATCTTCGGCATGAGAGTCAAATCCGAGGCAGGGTGGGCCGTTCACAGTTGTGCTAGCAGTATATTTTGCTGCGTAGCGGGTATTGAGACGTCGGAGAAACGTGGGGAGGAGACGGGGTCATTAATAACGGGGAGACTGGGGGCTTACTTAGAGGTAGGAATTGAAAGCAGTGGCGGGATTTGGGAGGGAAAGAGGCCTTGATGTGTTTTTTTATGCCCAGCGTGATATTATTTACTGCTGAGAAGACGTTAGCAAGCTTAAACGCGATGCATTGAACCTCAATTAGAGGGGAAAAAACCCGGCAGTATGACTCCTGCAGCTGGGACCCGAACCCAATACACACTAAGACGACGTTTTGTTCTCTTCCCACGTCCACAGTGGAAGGCATCGGCTGGGATGAAGGTGTTGCATTGTTGGGTCGCATGGATCTACAGCGTGAATGATTACTAGTTGTATGCGTAAAGCTCGGTCGTTTTTCCGGTAAATGCTCGTTCGTTGAAGAAATGCGAGTTCGGCGGAGCCGAGTTTCAGTAGTTGCCGTGGTGGCGTAGGGATGTATCGAAGCCAGCGCCCCTGGTCCTTGTTCCCTTCCCGCATTTCCACACCCCTTACTCCACCGTCCCAACATCGTATCTTCCATCCCTGCTCCCCGGTCGAGCAGAGCCGGGTTTTAGCAACAGTCCAGCAGCACTGCAGTTGTGGTACTTCTATCTGTATGCATTGGACACGACGGGGGCATAGGGCTTCTTTTGTCGTCGGGATTTAGACACATCGATCATAACAGTGATGCAAAAATATCTAAAGTTCATGGGACGAGAAATGAGGAATTTGTTTGCGAGCATAAAAAAGCGGTGGGTTGAATGGGTGATGTTAATTTCAGGCAGAATGGAGGTGAGTTTAAGCGATGCCGAAAAAATGTTCATAATACACGGAGCGCAGGTTGGGCTACGAGCCGATGGACGCGGGTATGTGCTTTCCTTTTTTTGTTGCGGAATCGAAACATTCCTATTCGATTTGCTAGTTTTAATATTAATTCCAACAAACTGTTTCATACAAATTTTAAATAAATTTCTTTTTTTTTTATTTCTTGAGACCCCGAAGAGGTGAGGGTTGGCGGTGTTCAGCCCGGGTTCGATCGGATGGCACCAAATAAATGAGGTTGCGGTTTTTTTGGTCACTCTGAGACAATATAAACAAGTTTCTGGGGGCATGCACACACACACGCACACACGCACATACACATACACATAGAGACAACCCCCTGACAATATTCGTTTTATATTGCTGTTACATAGCATAATAAATAGCAGCA